CAACTATTTCTTATCTATCTATTCTCTTTACATATTCTACTTTAGGTAATTTTTATATATAAGCATCTTAATTTCATTCCTGTGTAGGTAAGGTTGGTTTATGTCATAAAAAAGAGGAAAAAAATCTTGCTTTAAGATCAGTTACTTTTTATAAAGAGGCTTAAGTTAACACTTTTAAAAATGTGTTTTCTGTCACTGATAAGATGACTTGGAATTCTGTGCTCTGCCAATAAATTCCATTACAGCAGTTTATGTATGAAGATTTAAAAGTATGTTAGAGCTTTCCAAGGTAGCTTTTTTGGGCAACCTTATATTACAAAGGTAGGCATTATAATATGCTACAAAGATAAGCATTATAAAATAGTTAACTAGATGTACAGCATTAAGGCTGATCTGTACTTTTAGCAGTAATGTATTCTCTTGCTTTTTTTATATTTTAAGTGTGATATGACTAGAATTCTTTATTAAGAATACTTAATATATTTGTACTATATTAAATGCCAATAACATTCAGTATTGTGCAAGAGAGTTTTGCAGTCCAGTAGAAACAGAGGAGATGGAACAGGCAGAGAAACTTGCTGAAATTTTACAAGTCAGGCTTTTAATGTTTAAATTGGTTCACTCCTTGAATTTCAGCAGATTGTATTAGAATAGTATTAGAATAGGCAGTGTTTTGCTGTATTGGAACGTAGATAAATTTTCCATGCTTGCAGACTGGGAAATGTGGCTATATAAATGCCTTTTAATTTGTGTAATACAGCATCACTGTTCTATTAGAAATTTTGACTTAGTAGTTACATCATAAGAACATTCAAAAAACAGGGGGGAAAAAAGAGAAAAAACATTATGGGAGAAAAAGCCACCACCACCTCCCTGAACCCCATAATTAGTTGTTTATTATGGGTCATTTAACTTCTCAGTGTCCAGGAGAATATCCACATTACCTTTTAAAAACAACATTCCTGTCTTTTTCTATGTTGTTTTGATTTGCACTTGACAAATATAAGAACTTTACAAAATGTGTTTTTCAGATGTGGAACCCATCCTTTAAAAAATGAAATTTAAAGTTGTGTATATGGAAGGTTCTTCATGATTTTTTTATCTGAAAAGAAATTTATGAAAGAGAAATTAAAAATTTTTATGTGGCTGTGCCTGTCATTCAGTATATTAAAATTTGATGTGATGAAAGAATGATATTATATGTTGGAGAGAGTTTTTTAAAAGATACCTATATGTTCTTTTTAATAAAGAACAAACTTTAATTAAACATTGTTTGCAGGTAGAAAAAAGCCTCATTCAGGAAATGTTTTCGTTTTTTTCAGTGGAATTCAAAAATACCTTGGTTATACCTATCAACAGTTAAATACTAGTATTATACTTCTCTTAAGTGCTGCAATATAGAATGTAAATCAGTGTTACTCTTTCATCTCACACACTTAGGGAGATATTTTTTTTTTTTTTTTTTTTTTTTTTTTAACCAACATGAGTCTTCTGGAACTGATCTGGTTGATGCAGGGATAAATTTTTTTATTAATTTCAACACAACATTGGATTGGATCCAGAGTAGGTTAAGGAAGTGAAAATGTGACTCTTGTAAATGAAGTCTCAGTTATTTTTTCATTAAGTATGAGGAGGAGGAAGAATCATTTAATGGTACAAAATATTCTGTAAAGAAACAGAGGCATAATTCCATATTGTGCTCTCTGAGTTCATGTGATACGATATGGTGTCTCAGGGTCACTAGCAAAAGGGAAGAGAAAATAGAGAAGCAGCCTTAGTTAGCATTTGTTTGCAATACTGCCAGTTTAAAGACATATTCCCTGAAGTAAATTGTTTGGGTTTCTGTGCTTATTTTCTTGTTTATCCCCCTTCCTTCTGGGTAGAATGAGGAGAGTTAACTGTTAGGAAATATTAGGTGATGTGAGGGAAAGGGATTGGAAACAAGCTTTAAGATTCAAGCGTAAAGAGTAGGCAGAGGGGAACCATCTAAGTATCTGCTGAAAGAAGACGGGATGTTTAGATAGTTATTGATGGAGTATGGAAGGTAGAAGGGGCACATCACAATAAATTAGTCTGTCATACTCTTCTTGATGAAGGCACTTAGAATAGGGCAGTGAAAGTATCTCTCTGAGGTCCTTCAGCAATCCCAATTTTTCTAGTCCATCACTGGTCTGAAGGAAAATATATACAGTTTATAGATGACTCCTCATGTTTTGGTTGGTGATGATTCAGTCAGAAACTGTGGGCCGATTGATTCGTGTGGTAAACTGAAATTTTGTCCATGGTAATTTGAGATGTGTTTGCAATATGATTTTTTTTAAAAAATACAGATTGGAAATGTTTCCATAAAGAATAAAAATACTTTAAAAGATCAGATGTGAAAGAAAATATTAAAGTGTTCAGTCTTAACTCAGGAGTTAAGGGCTCCCTGTGAATGACTGATGAATTTGTAAGTAATAGATAATTTCATATAAAATTTTTCTCCCTTTTTTAGTAGAATTTTATAGTTAGATCCAACAGCAGCAAGGCAATGGTAAACACATTCAGTGTGGGTACAGGAAGAAAATGTTGAGGGGACATTAAACACATACTATAGGTTATGTGGGCAGTTTTACCAGGGCATGTAACTCATATGTGGGGAAGTGTGGGCAACAGTCTGCAGCAGAAGCTCAGGAAATTTTTGTCTTGCCTGATATTACAATGGGTTTATGGCTCACATCTTTTTAATCTGTGTTATATACAAGTGTTAGTTCTTTCTTTACAGTTGAAAGGTAAAAGGAAGAAGATTTGAATATGCTCTATAGTGTTGTGAAAGTGATTGAGGTTTTGACAGGATGTTGAATCTGAAAAAGAGGAGGCTGAAGGCTTTAAAAAAGTCTTTCTGGGCCAGCAGAAATGAAGAATTAGGGTTGTGTAGGATTCTTGGACAATTTTTTAAATTGCAGCTGAGATGCTTGTGAGGCATCTTAGATAGAGACAAATCGGGGGAGGCAGGCTTTAAACTTCCCTGCACATAACCATGTTAAATAGGTACACCATCTGAGAAGTGGGTATGCCAGGGCAGTCCTGAGAAACTTGCACTATTAAGAGATGAAGAAGCTTTCCAGCAGGAGATGATCATCACAAGAGGGGGAAGCGAAACTGAAAGTACAGGATATTCAAATGAGATTCTGGAAGGATTGAACATTGTGAGGGAAAGGGACTAGGAAAGACTCAACTTTTGAGTAAATATCAGAGAAAATGTCAGTGTGTCTGTTGTAAAGTAGGAGACTGAAATGGTTATTGACAACACATGGAGAGGAAAAGAGGAGTATCAGAATCACATAGTGGTTAAGGATATAAGCGATCTCTGAAGATCTTCTAATCCAACCATCCTGTTGAAAGAAGGATCACCTAGCACCTAGGCACCTAGCACGTGGCCATGTCTAGATGGGCTTTCAATACCTTTAAGAAAGGCAGCTTCATAAACTTGCTGGGCAACCTGTTCCATATAGCAACATGGATTTATTTAGGTGACCCTAGAAAATGCATCATAATCTAAAGTTTCATTTAACGTGAGAAAACAGAATATACCAACCATCAGAACACTTTAATGTGTTATGCTAGAGCTTCAAATAAAGCAATGAAATGATGCCTTACAGTTATGAGACAAAGACTTTTAAAAATTTTACTAATCTTGACTTTATTATGGACACCTGGAGATTCATTCATTCTACTTCATTTACTGATTTCTCATTACTGTCATTAAATGTGCGATTAAATGTAACTTCTGTGAGCTATTTCCAGATCATTTTCTTGCCTGTTTTTTCCTAGAATTATATACAAGTCAGCTCTGTAGTCAGTCTGGTCTTGTATCTCTGGTGGAAGTTCCTAATGTTATGCTGCAGTGTCTTGTCTTATTCTGGAGAAATGGCAGCCTTTGTTAAAGTGGTATTTGCTTTGCTAGAGACCAGTGAATTACATGCTGTTGGATCATAGGCAATGTTTGTATTGTCTAAACAAATGAGGTTGTCTTGAGAACTTAGTGGTTTTTTTCTTTCTAAATTAATGATCTTCCTTCCATTGCCAAATCCTGAAACTGTGCATTAGATGCCAGAAGACTTTTGAATTTTTATCTGGAAAGAATTCAACATATTAAATAGATGGAAAACATTTGTATCTAAGACAGTTTAAAGAGTCCACCTGTATCTCAGTGTTGTAGATCTCTCTCATTTGGGTGTTTTTCTGTGTCTAAAAAAACACTGAAGATCCAGGCAGATATTTTTCCATTAAAAAGGATGTATTTATTTTGCTAATAATATGGGGGAAACTTGGAAAAACAGTATTACATAAGTGAGTCTTTACAAAATATTTCAAGAACACTTCTACATCACAACTCTAAGACCTTCAGAATTAGTGGATGAGAACTACAATGATACTGCAATTAATTGTTTAAAATGCCTTTTTAAAGTAAAGAAAAATCTGAAGAATAACCAGCCAGTCTGCAGTTAAATCCAGTTAAAAGCAGGTTTGTCAGTTCTTGCCATGTCAGAACAATTAAGACAATCTGTTTAGTTAATGAATCTGTATAAGCATTCATGCCTGTTTTCTGAAGTTTACATTTTTGTAAAAGACTGAATACTTTCATCTTCCACATTTCCAGTGACAGTGGAGACTCTGTAGCATCAGCATATTACCCTTTGGTCATTTGTCCAACTGTGAATAATTTTTATGTATTTACAGGAGAGTTTGGGAACAACTGATTTTTTTTTTTTTTTAACCTTCATATATATATATATATATATATATGTTAGTGAATATGAAGTTTCTTATTTTAAAAGTTATTGCATTGTTTCATAACTGACATACTGTATCTTAAATGCTATTTTGCCATTGCAAATTTAGTTGAACAATATTATATATGTCATTTATGCTGAAAAATGTGTTTGATTATATCATAATAAGAGTTATTTCATATGTATTAACTTTTATCTAAAAAAGCTCTTTAACCTTTTTTCCAGAACTGTGAGGACATGGGATGTTAACAATGAAAAAAAGCACAAAAGCATATTTAAACCACGATCAGTTCAAGGTAAACGGGTAATTCCCACAACTTGCACGTACAGCAGAGATGGTAAATTTATTGCAGCTGGCTGTCAAGATGGCTCCATCCAGATCTGGGATAGGAATATGAGTGTAAGTCAAGTATTTGATAACAATATGTGTTTCTGATATATTGAGTGCTGAATATTGAAGCTGATAAAGTAAATTTTTTGTACTTTTATACTTATATTTTACCACCAACACCCCCCATAAGTAATTCATACTTAAAATTTATTATCTCTTCTGCCCCTCTCCAACTGCTGCTGTTCACTTCAAAACGCTAAGGAAACTCTTGGTGATCTGTTAGTTTTTTCTTTTTCAAAATAGTTGGCCACATAACTATGTTTAGAATATTACTCATTTAGGATAAGATGCTTGTGGAAAAAGCTGTAAGTTCTTGTTCGTGCTTATCTAATTAAAAATGTTTACTTCCATGTTTTATTTGAGACTTTGAATACATTAAGCAGTAACTCGTAAAACTTGGTACTGAAATCAGTTATTGAGATAATGAGCAGAGCAGAATAGCATCCAAGTGGTTGAGGATAAGGGTAATGCTTCAAATTTATTGCCAAATGTTACATTGTTCAACATGCAAAAAACGACATGAAGGCAAATTTGAGCAACTTATATAAAGGCAGTTTGGTAACAAAGAGTCAGAATGGGAACTATTTAAAATTACAAAATACACTCTGGAATTTCTTCTGATCATATTGAAGTTAAAATTGAATTTCTAGTAGTTGTGAATCTAACTGACAAAGAATATGTACAATTCTTGCTACTACTTTATAATTCGAAGCTTAGAGCAGTCAGTGCTCTCTGTTGCTTTCTGTAGCATTATTTACAAACCAGGCCAGTTCCAAGAGTTTAATTAATTAATTAAGACTGCAATGTTGAGTGCAGGTTCACCAGGCAGAGCTTTACTGCTTTTAAAATGAGTTAAGCTAATAGTCATCTGTACCTCCTTTATGCCCATTTTACCCAAAGAATTGATGCCCAATCCCTTTCATGTCAGTAGGATTAAGTGTTTATGGCATACATAGAAGGAGAAAATGAGATTAGGGTCAATTTTTGGGGAAGTTTACAGAGGAAATGGGGGGCAGGGTGGGCAGGGCAGGATCTTTTGAATCAAAGTGACATCATAATCTTTGAAAGCTGTACAATTCCAACAGAATGGTTTTGGGGAAATAATACTGAACTATTACAAGTTACATTAGTCTGTTCAACTTCATCTTTCAAAGCATTTGATTTTAAAAAGGAAAACAGGCAATTTAGACAACTTTTCATGAAGATTGAATAAAATTTGATTGCTGGAGGCAAGAGGAAATGTATGGATGTAAAAGGAGAAGAAAGCCCGTTGATCATATTCAAAGTACAGCCTGTATTTTGGGATTGTAATCTATTTTTATTTCTGTTTTTATTTCCACTATAAACCCAGTAAAACTTCCTAATGGCACGAAGCTTGAGAATTCATCCTAAGTGTAAACTTGTTCTAACAGAATAATAAATTTTTCAGAGACTGGCTTTCATCACCTGTGTATGTTGTTTATTTTAACATACACAGTATTGAAATATTAAGCTTTCTGGTGTAGTTTTAACAATAGTGCTCTTGGTAGTCTGCTTTTTCATGTGCTTTTCCTTTTGAACTTTTGTGTGTCTTTAAGATGACATATTGTAATGCTGATTGAGTGCAGTTTAAGGTGATAATGAAAAATTTAAAGATATATCCTGTGCATCTTGTGCAATTTCCAGCTGGTGACCCCTGTATAAGAATGCAAGACAAGTGATTTCCTAGTGGAAATGAAGTTAGTAGTGTCCTTGGATTAGTATTTTTAAAGTCTAAAGAATTTTTGGCTTTGCTTTTGTTGGTGTCATTAAGAAACATGCAAGATTTTTGGGTAAAGGAGCAGTGTAAATTGGTTTTAGTGGCATTCTTACCTAAGGCTGCTGGTACCCTCTGGAAATCTCTGTGTATAGTTAAAATTAGGTGTTTTTGAAAAGTCATCTTGATGAAATAATTAAAAAAAGAAAAAGCCTACATCTTACATTTGGGAGCGGGAGAGGGATAAGAAAAAAAAAAATTTAAAAGGAACATGTGTTCAAAGTAGCATTTAGAAAGAGGAGGATGGGATTGTCTCCTGCACTGCAGTGATGAAAGCATGAACTAGCCTGACAGGATGCAGAGATGCTTGCAAATGTTAAGTCATAACAGTGGTGCAGTTTTGGGGTTACAAAGTGGGTGACACAGGAAAACCAGTTAAATCTGTGGAGAATCAAGATGTGAGGGTTAAGCTGCTTGAAGAAATATATGGTAGAAATATTAACTTCTGATTTTTGAAGAAATTTTTAGTTCCCATACAGCAAATACCATTTGGCTTTGTTGAAACAAGTGTAGAGCTGTATACACAGATTTTGCTGTACAACAGTGCAGCTCTGTTTCAAGTCAAAATTAAGACAGCATTTATGTTTAGTTTGAGAAGGCTCTATTGAGTCTAACAAAAATCACTAGTGTTTGAAAGCAGAAAGTAGTTGCTATAATTTCTAATACTTGATCAGTTAAAAATTATTTTGGCATCATTATTTTAGACTATGGATTTGGCACATATGCAGCAGTGAGGAGGACAGATTCAGGAAGCTGTTTAAAGTTAAGTGTAACTTAATTGACTCTACTGTCATACCAGAGATGATCTGATAAAGGTCTGTTTTGACTGTCTGAATTCATTTTTGCATTTAAGCAAAAACCCTGCGCTTAGAATACCCATACCACTGTTCCTGCATATGATGGTAACAGCACAAACTAAATACAGGAAAATGTTCCTACCAGATATTATGGATCACAATTCATACTATCCATAGTGCCTGTTATCCTGGTGCCTGTGAAGGTTTTTAGACACATTTATTTTTGACAGGAGTAAAAAATCCTGTCAAACACAGATCCCACTTCAGAGAGAGGAGGTTTCTCTTTGTTTCGGTGAAAACAAAGCCCCTGCTTTCTCATGGGAGAAGGATCATGAAAACAGTAGTATCAAGGGCAGAAGTGGATACCCTGATAGGAAGAGTCTGATAATGCCCTTTCCTAGATTAAAAGGAACACTCATTAGAGGCAGGCACATTGCTGCAGTGCTGGTAAGAAGCCACTGTTCCTCTAGGAGTCCACAAAGACTGTAACACTTTACAAGGCTGTTGAAGCTCCCTGATGAAGCTTGCAGAAATCTTCCTTGCCCGAGTTTCTGACTGCTGGTTATGGGTTTATTATCCTCTGCTCCCCACATGACTTGCTAACTTGACTACAGGAATCCTATGGATGTATCTATCAAAGGGCAAACAAATTAAAAATTATCCTGGTGTGTGGTGGTGTCCCCATCACCACTGTAGTGTCACTTGTGTTTGCTGCTAGGTCGTATGGAACTTGGTCCAAAGTGGTGTGATTATGTAGTTCTGCAAATATATTTTTTTTTTATTTGGAGAGAAACAAGACCTTTTCTATCTCATGTTTTATCATCCCTGCTGAAGTCAAAGTAGCTAACTCTTTGTTCTAAGTTAACCTCATGAGTTATCTGGGTTTTTTTGAAGCCACTTAGAGCCATTTCAGTATCTGATTTTTTAAAAAATTATCTTGTTGCATCTAGGGAGTGATTTTGTTGTGTGATCAATTTCCTTCTTTAGTCCTGACTAGTAATGCACACCATAAGTGTTTCATTCAGTTTTCAGCTTCCACTTTTTTTCTGGTGCAATTCCAAATCTTCCAGCTGTATATAGTGAGAGTAAAAACACTTCTGGAACTTTTGGAGGAAGACTTTTTTCTTTTGTCTTCATGATACTGACATTGGTAGCTTGCTAATGCTGAAATTAGTCAGATGCATTCCGGCTCTGCCTTCCTTTCTCCAAACTTCCTCAGTATGATCATGATCCATTATAATCACCTGCCTCAGAGGATTTTTTCATTTTTCCATAAATCTGTGTTGTTTTCTCACATATGTTATTTTGTCAGTGCTTGGGTTTTCTTTAAGGTTCATGTATATGTGCATTTACAGTGCACATTAGCAGGACAGTCTGTCAACATGTTTGAAATATTATGAACACTGTCAACTTGGCTTAAAATAGCAGTTTCAAAGGACATAAAAAATAACTTCCTTCAAACTTCCAATGAGTAGTGGAAACAATAGTGTAAAATAGTCGATCACAACATAACACATTAGAACTCTCTCAAATTTAAGTGTTCTGAGATGTGGTGAGGCGTCTGGCAAATATGGAGAGTTGGAGAGCGTTAGTGGTCAAAGACAGACAGGACCTTGAAAATTACTGATTCACAGGGCAGTGCAGTAGAACCACTAGACTCTCTTGCAGTTCAGATAGATTCAAATTGCTCATCTTGCCCATGCTTGCCCATTTTTGAGCTTTTTGCTAGGACCTTTAGTTAAAAAAGCTGATCCATGGAGCCAGTCTTTAGTATCAAGAATGAAGTGTGTCTTGCAATCAGTAAACCTCTGTGTGCCCAGTTTTCCTGTGTAGAAGTGGGAGTATATGAAAAGACTGAGGTAATTTTTGTAGACTGTTAGTATGCATGGTGGGTAGGTCATTTTCCACTGTAAACAGGTAAAGATTGAGATGTTTTTCACTGATTACAAATAGGATTTATTAGACTGAAAAAGGTAAACTTTCTTAGACTTTCAAGCCACCTGATAAGACAGACTACATGTTATATGAATTCACCCTCCAGCTTTTCCTGGGTGCAGGACGGCGTAAACAGCTTCTCTGTGTATGGCAGCCTAAATCATGTTTCTCAGTTTCACACATCACAATGTTATGATATAACATTGCAGTTGTGATACAAAAATATTGGTAAGGGTGTTGGGGAAGCAGAGTTTTTAACAAGTGGTGATATTTTAAAAGACTTCAAGAAAACAGCTTGTACACCCAAAATCTTGTCGGGTTTTTTTCTACCTATTTAAAACAGGTCTGTTTAGAAAACTTGAGTTATCTTTATAAGCTTTTAGCTGTCTCATGGCTGCACTGTAAGTACTAAAGAATTAGCTTTGACAGATATATCTGTAATAGGTTTATCTTTATGTAGTGTAAGTCTGAAAAGGAAAGAT